GGATGTGAGTTGAAAACGTGGATCAATGAGGATCAACCAGAGTCAACGGGGGTCAACTAGATTCAACCAGAGTGAAGAGGGCTTACCGCAGCCAAAGTCAGCAACTGTGAGGGTGGCTGGGCGCTGGCAGATCCAGTCAATGATGACGTGGAGGGGGTTGATTGGCCAGGACGCCACCTGCTCCCGATATCCCTCGTGGTACTGTTCATGTGTGCATGCATGGGGTGGGATGAAATGGATTGAAATGGGATGGAGTGGAATGTATTGGGATGGGATGGGATGGGATGGGATGGGATGGGGTAGGGCGGAGTGGAGTGGAGTGCAGTGGGGTGGAGTGGGTTGGGATGGAATAGGGAAAGATGCAGCAGCAGAAATTGGACAACTTTGTACTGATAGTCTTTGTGGTACTGTTCATGGGTGCATGGATGAGATGGGATGGGGTGGAATGGAACAGAAAAGGAGAGGCGGAAACCAAAAAGGTGTGGCGAACTACCCTCTGTTGCCACACCCTCAAGTGAAGGTGTGGCAAACTACCCTCTGTTGCCACACCCTCAAGTGAAGGTGTGGCAAACTACCCTCTGTTGCCTGGTAAAACCGCTCATTTGATAAAAACCCTTCATCACCGCTCTCAAAATAGTTTCTGGCTTTTTCGCTTTCTTTCCATCCCTCTCACCTGTGCAAACGGGTGTGGGTCTTCAGATGAAAGAAGGAGTGTTTTGAGACGTCTCAAAACACTCCTTCTTTCACGGTCTTCAGAGAACATCTGAAACGCTTTTTCTCCATCTGACGTGTAGCGTGTCTTTCTCTTGGAGCTCACTTGGTCATGCATACCCCTCTGCACCACTTCCGACATCTTTTCCATCCATTCCTCTCACCTGTGCGAGCGCGTGTGGGTCTTCAGAGAACATCTGAAACGCCTTGTCCTTATCCCACGTGTAGAGCATCTCGTTCACTTGCGAACCACTAGTTTATTCAGATCCCATTTCACCGCTCCAAATCCATCTCCATCTCACTGTCTTCCCACACTTTATATCCCTCTCACCTGTGCGAACGCATTGGGGTCCTCTGAGAACATCTGAAACGCCTTGTCCCCATCCGTTGTGTAGAGCGTGCATGTCATTGACCCTTTTCACAATCCCTTTTCACCGCACCCAATCCCTCTCACCTGTGCGAACGCATTGGGGTCCTCTGAGAACATCTGAAACGCCTTGTCCCCATCCGTTGTGTAGAGTGTGCATGTCATTGACCCTTTTCACAATCCCTTTTCACCGCACCCAATCCCTCTCACCTGTGCGAACGCATTGGGGTCCTCTGAGAACATCTGAAACGCTTTGTCCCCATCCGTTGTGTAGAGCGTGCATGTCATTGACCCTTTTCACGATCCCTTTTCACCGCACCCAATCCCTCTCACCTGTGCGAACGCATTGGGGTCCTCTGAGAACATCTGAAACGCCTTGTCCCCATCCGAAGTGTAAAGAGTCTCGTTGAGCGATCTGAAACGACTCCCGGCTAGACGAGCCTTCATCTGATAGGATAAATGATGGAAAGGGATGGGAGAGGAGGGGAGGGGAGGGGAGGGAAGGGGGAAACAAGCAGGCAGGACTGTATTTGGCACAGTCATCTTGTCTCCATCCGAAATGTAGAGCATCTCGTTAGCAGAGCGGAAACCGTTCTCTGGTTAGACGAACTCGCATCCGTGATGTGGTCTGGTGGGAGGGAGGAAAGTATCCCATGGGCCAGCATTCAATGCACATAGCCTCGCCTCCATCTGCACGTCTTGCTGAGCGATCTGAAACGACCTTGCGTGCAACAACATATCATACTCGCTCATCCAGTTTCGGGGCGTTTTGCCAAGGCACCCTTGCAACAGCAACACACCGCCTATTCATCCGTGCCCCAAACCTCCATCCCCAACACTAAAAACCTCTCAGCCCAAAACCCTTACCCCAAAATTTCAGACTCCAAACCCCAAGCCCTGAACCCAATCAATAAACTGGGCGAAATCGAACATTCCGAGACACCATTGTCGACAGTCACCTTGTCTAGCAGGCTTAGTTTCTTGCCGCTGCTGCCCCCTCCTCCTCCTCCTCCCAACCTCCCTCCTACTCTTGATTTGCTGCTGCTGGCTCCTCCTCCCTCTCCTCCTAATCCTCCCGCTTTCGAACTAGCACCCCCACTTGCGCTTTTGGCAGCATGCGAAAGAACACCCCCACTTCTTGCTGCATTTGCGCCAGCACCCTTCCCCGCAGCACCTGCTCTCCCTTTCCTACGCCGCCCCTTCTTTCTGTCGTTTTCCGCAACTTCTGCACCTCCTCCTGTAACCACCTCTCGTAGACTCTGGCCAATCGGGTCTCCCTGACCAGATGTACCTTCCCCAGGTATACCTGATTGACCCGATCGACCAGCTTGACCTAATTGTAGCGTACCTTCCCCCGGTATGCCTTTTCCGGCTTGCCCTGATTGTAATGTACCTTCACCAGATAAACCACTCTTCCGTTTGGACCCGAAACCCTCTCCGCGGCTAAACCCTGTGGCCTCGCCCTTGGCCCTCTTAGCGGGAGGATGCGGTACCAACGGCCCAGATTTCGTCCCTGTTGCGGAGTCTTGTTGCCTGACCGTCGATGTGCCTTGGCTCGCTAAGGTGGCTTTTCTCTTCTTCTGCTTGTTTTTGTTCTTAGGCATGGTAGCTTCTACAATAACTTTCGCATGTAATATGTAAGCTTAACAAAAAGTTGCTGTTAGGCCTGCCTCCAGAGCATCGAGACTAAGCTCTAGGCGGAAAGGTAAAAAGCGTGAATCTACACTTGCGCTTTTAATGTAAGTGACAAAGAGACCCGTGTGCAACGTGACACTAGGTTGCGAAAGAGGACACTAACGTAACGTCGTGAAATAACTCGCAATGGAAATCAGGCTTGTTACGGACGGACGCGGTAAGGGTGAAATGTTAGGAGAGCAAGTAAGTCGTAGGGACAGACAGAAATGTCTGGTAAAGCTAGTGTTGCGCTGGAATAGAATCAACACAATGGGGATGGATCATAGTAGCACCGTACTGGACCGATTTTGACCGAGTTTACGTTATTCACTCATTGAAATTGGAACACATCAAGTGTATTAGTGCAGGGCGTATTCGAGGCTCGGGCCAAACCTCTGATCAAATCTTCTTAGGGTCAGCCTTGAGCATTCCGAGGCGACTTCTGGTCGTACACATCTCTGACATCTGACTGGCTTGAAACCACCTAGCGGATCTTCGAATGCGCCCTAGAGTAAGTTGAAAGCGAACACCCGAGACAGGACCTTCTGCAATACTTTGTTCTTGGGAACTCCTCTTTGTCTATGAGCGGGTCTTGAAAACTGGTTCTTCCAGTCCAGGCCTATCATAATTGGGGTGCAGTGCCAAGTTGGCATCTCGAGGTTTTACGGCCCATTATCAACAACTCGCCACCGTAATGCACCCAAGCCAGTTTAATTTTCACCCTACAGAGCCGTGACCAACCCCTTGACTAATGTGATTCTGTCGGCGATTGAACATCGGTCTGCTGATTGAAATGACCAAGCCAAGCCAAGCCAAGCCCATCATCTTTCTGCTCTACTTCTGTTGCTCCTCCCATCTATGGTTTATTTTCCCATTTCTGCTCATCTGCCGTACTTTTCTTACGAGTACAACTGGTAATCTCCTGCGAGCACATGCTCGCGCGTTTGCATTGAGCGTTCGTAGCTCGCACTCTATGGCGCGAGAGGCAAAAGGTCAAGCACCACAATTTTACTACGCAGCGAGCCACAGTCCTCCGGAAATTGTCTAGACCTTATTGAATTGGCATTTCAGAAAGGTTTATACACACAGTAAGGGTAATCTGCGGACGACTAGCATAGGCGTTTCATTACGGTTCATTTCGGTTCTGAGGGCTTCGGTAGATAAGCGGAAAGGAGGAGGGGAAGGCATTCGGCGTTGCGATTCGCTTCTGAGAATTTCTCGCCATTGTTTTTGGAGATTAAGATTCACTAGTCGAGCGGAAGAAAAGTTAGAAGGAGGCGAAGAGTGCTTCTGAGGCGCCTCAAGAGGGAATGCTGAGAGAATGCGGAAGAGCAGCGGACCCCACCGATCGGCGGAACGATCCGCGCAATCCCCGGAGGCAATACACGACCTTTACGGGGCCCCGCAATTCGCAAATGCGGCAACGAATCACGCCGGAGAGGAGCGGTATTACGATCATGCGCCACCTATAGGAGTAGAACGAGGAGGGAATGCTGCTCCGCCTCGGCGGTCCCGCAGCATCTCCCCGGCCGTGGGGGAGGGGAATATGGCGCGCGGAAACGGGGAGCGCGCGGGGGGGAGCTTGGCGGCGGGTATGGTGATGGGGGAAGTTAAGAACCACACGGGGAGGGTCAAGGAGTTGGGTAGGGCTAGAAGCGGTATGGCGGAAGCAGACATGGGTCATGCACGGATAGGTGCGGATATGGTTCAAGGGAGGGTGTATAGAAAAATGGCGACGGAGCGAGAGAGAGGGAAGGAGGCGGAGCGGGTGAGACAGCGCGACCTCGAAAGGGGGATTTACCTTGGAGATTTCGACAGATCTGTGACGGAAACCGCGACTGAGAGGGCGCAATCGGGTGGTTTACCCTGGAATAATGTAGATCGAGCGCATGAGCTGCTGGATAGACCGCCTACGGGGTCGCTTGGGGTGGAAAGGATGAGGCGGAGGGAGAAAGGAGCAGAGGCGCGACGAGAGGCGGAGAGGGAGGGGGTGAGGGGGAGGGCGAGAGATGGGGTTAGGTCGGGGGTTGGGAAAGAGGCGAATGTGATGGGAGGAGGGGGTGATTATAATGAAGGGGGGGATGAACAGTATTTGCGCATGGCGACGTGTGATTCGTCGGTGCGACCAGGGAGGAGCAGGGGTGGAGGTGTGCGAGGACGGCAGGGTGGGGTTGGTGGCGAATGGGAATGTGACACGTCAGCTGGGAGAGAGGAGGAGGATGAATCGGAAGGGGATTCTGAAGAAGACATGGGAATGCGGACAAAATCAACAAGTTGGCAGAAGCAGCAGCAGCAGCAGCAGCAGCAGCAGCAGGGATACGATGCCTCAGCTGCTGCTCACTCTTCCTCCGCCTCTGCTGTCTCTCATTCCTCTGGTGGTCCCCGTCGGATCCAGCACAGTGCAACAGCAGGGGAGGCAGGAGGCAGGGAGAGGAGGCGAGGGAAGGTACTGGGAAGCGCAGGGGAGAAACGTGGTGGGGGGTTGTCTGGTGCTGGGGAGGAAGAGGATGAGGGAATCAGCAGCGATCATCTGACAAGAATAGCCGCCCAGATGATGGGATTTGAAGATGGGGAGGACGGGCAGATCGGGCAGATCGGGCAGGTCAGGCAGGACGGGCAGGAAATCTTTTTGCAGGAACCAATGCAGGAGGATCTGATTGGTCCATCCGCCCTGCTGCCGCCGAGCCACATCTCCTCCCGACCCTCTTCCATCCGCAAGGCACACTCAGCCTCGGCCAAGCCTGCGAAATCCGGAGGCTCGGCAGCAGGCTCAGGAGCCGGCATTGTCAGTGACAGTCATTTTGTCGAGGACCTGCTTCAGCTAGGGTTGAATGATTCGCGGTTAAGGGACTGGGCTGCCAGGTTCAAAGCAGGTCAGACAGACAGACGAGAGCTGCAGACACTGCTACTGGAGCTTCAGGAAAAGCAGAGGTTGCAAGGGGCGGGAGAAGGAGCAGGTGGGAAGGGAGAGGAATGGATGGGAGGATCTGCAGTGGGGGAAGATGAGGCAGAGGGAGTGACGGAATCTGCTGCAGCAGCAGGTGCTGGGTCAGGATTAGGGTTAGGGTTTATGGGGGGTTCTAGACCTAGATCTTCCTCTCGCAGGCTTGCCAGCAGCAGTGGAGTCCGAAGCAGGCCAGCTTCGTCGTCGTACCACAACCGAACCCAGCGGGCAGGTCACGCCAGGTTCGGCAGCAGCATAGGGTTCGGAACAGGCCTAGGCGGGTTAGTCTCTGGGGCAGGTTCGGGAACGGGAGGCTTGGGAGACGCCTTAGAGGGGTCTGGTTCGGAGGGTGGTTCGGACGCGGAGGACTTTTTGATGTCGGTTCCCCCTTCGGCTCTAGATGTTCTGCAGGGCAGCGGGCAGGCGAAAAAGAAACCTCCGACCGGAAATTGGAAGAGCCCTCTTTCAGGAGCAACACCAGGAGATTCCTCAACCTCGTCTAGCGTTCCCTCTGCACGATCTGGACCGTTGATCTCATCAGGATCGGTCCCATCAAGACCCCGAGGGACATCTGCCGCATCGATTCTAAGGCATGGAAGTTGGGAGCAAAGGGAGTTTGCACAGCTGGCAGAGCAATTCGGGCTGGATGCAGACGAGGAGGGGCTAGGCGGGTTGGTGGAGGGAGGGAGACAGGGAGGCACAACTGGTGCGGGGGGTCCTGGGGTAGGGTTATCTGATGCAAGTGCATCAGGGGCGGGTATACCTGGTGCGGGTGGGAGGTTGATTGGGAGGAGCAGCTCAGTTCCCGAGGCAAGCCCTTCTGGAGGCTCGTGGGGGAGTCCCGGGGGAGTGGTGGAAGTGGGAGGGGTGGGAGTAGGAGTGGGAGTGGTAGGTGTCGGTGGTGTGGGAGACACAGGGGATGAAGAGCAGGATATAGCTGCCACAGCTGGTGGCAGTGCTGGTGGTGGTGCGGGTGATGGTGGGGTTGGTGGTGGTCGTGGTGGTGGTGGTGGTGGTGGTGGGAGTGCTGGTGATTTGTATGGAGGACGGCGTAGAGGATTCCAAGGAGGAGGGTTGGCGGATCTGTATGGAAACGATGGGATGGCTGCTGCTGCTCCCCTTGTAGCAGGCTCCGCTGCTTCTGCTACAGCTGCTGCTACAGCTGCTGCTGTTGGTGTCGGCAAGGCCCCTGCTGCTGCTTCTGCACCTGGTGCTGGTGTTGGTGTTGGTGCTGGTGCTGGTGGTAGTGGCAGTGGTGCTGCTGGTGCTGCTGCTCACACTGGTGACCTCTATGCAGCAGTCTCACCACCTCCTCCATCATTCCCACTTCCACCACTCCCAGCAGCAGCACCACTCCCACCTGCATCCTCCCTCTCCAGAAAACCACCCCAGCCACGGCTCCCCCGCGCTCTCTCTGCAGACACAGTAAACGCCCCTCCCCCCTGCACCTCTCATGCAGCAGAAGGAGAGAGAGAGGGAGAGAGAGACGGAGCAAGAGAGGGAGCAAGAGAGGGAGAAAGGGACAGAGAGGGAGAGCTAGGGGGAGCGGGCGAGGAGATGTTGTGTCTGGAGCGGAATCTGAGCCTTCCGTCACCAAAGCCGGTTGCACAGGTGGAGGAGGCATCGTTCGATCGCAACCTGTCGCTGCACAATGTGATCAAGAAGCGGATCAGCAGCCACGCCGGGGAGGTGGGGCAGCAATTCGCTCGGCTCTCCACTCTCCTCAAGAAGTCATGTAAGCTCTTCTCCACTCCACCCTTCCAAGAAACTGCCTCCTCTCCCAACCTGTCTGTCGCTGCACAATGTGATCAAGAAGCGGATCAGCAGCCACGCTGGGGAGGTGGGGCAGCAGTTTGCTCGCCTCTCCACTCTCCTTAAGAAGTCATGTGAGTGTTGCTGCTCTCTTTCCCAACAAGCTGCCTCACGTTCTCTTGATGTTTAACCTCTCCTCTCCTCACCTCTCTTTCCACTCCCTGTCCGCCTTTCAACCCTACCCTACCCTTCCCTACCCTGCCCTGCCCTGCCCTGCCCTGCCCTGCCCTGCTTGCTCGCCAGCATCCACACCCAACGCACCTGGGAGTGCGGGAAGTGGAGCAACAGGAGGGAGCAAGAGGCCGGCGCAGGAAGGGAAGAAGCCACCCAAGCCAGCCAAGAGTGGATCAGACAGGCCGTCCAGTGGCAACCCACTCGCCAGGTGCGTGTGTGTGTGTGCTCTCTTCTCAGTATTCGTTCACCCCCAACGCACCTGGGATTGGCGGCAGTGGGGGGGCATCCTCAGGGGGGAAACGGCCGGCGCAGGAAGGAAAGAAGCCACCCAAGCCAGCCAAGAGCGGAGCAGACAGGCCGTCCAGTGGCAACCCACTCGCCAGGTGCGTGTGTGTGTGTGTGTGTGCTCTCTTCTCAGTATTCGTTCACTCGCCAGGTGCGTGTGTGTGTGTGTGTGCTCTCTTCTCAGTATTCGTTCACTCGCCAGGTGCGTGTGATTTCGTCTCAGCATCCACACTCAACGCTCCTCCTGCCAGTGCGGGCAGTGGCGGCAGCAGTGGGGCATCATCATCAGCGGGCAAGCCAGCCAAGAGCGGAGCAGACAGGCCTTCCAGTTGCAACCCCACTCGGCAGATGTGAATTGTTCTGTTTTGTTTGGTTCTTTTCTCACTGCCGAGCCTCTTTCTTCCACCTGATCATGCATGTGGGTGGGTGGGCGTGGGCCATGTGCATGTGCAATCGTGTGTGTGTGCTGTGCAGGAATTTATTTGTGGTGAGCCTGTACGTGTAAATGACTACGCGTAAATGATAGGAATAAATTTCGTGCATTATTACCCTGGTAATGAGTCACCATTGGTACCATTTCAATACAATGGTTCGCTCTTTTTCCCCCTAAATTCCACCCGACCCCCCCCCCTTTGTTCCCCTCCGTCAGAACATCGTCTATTGAAGCAGAGTTTGGCAATTTACCAGCACCCACGAGAGTCCATACCCAATCTCCATACTCAAGATCCAATCTTCATTTTTCCCTCCAATCTTCCTCCTTCCCCCCAACCCTCTCCTGCCCTCAAACTCTCCCCTTTCCCCCAACCCCCTCATTCTCCCCAGAACATCGTCTATAGCAGCAGAGTTTGGCGATTTACCAGCAACCTAGAGAGTCCCTCATACTCGAAACCCAAGCCCCCTCTTTCCCTCCAACCAACGTCCCCCTTCGCCCCAACCCTCTCATTCCCCTCAGAACATCGTCTATTGCAGCAGAGTTTGGCGATTTGCCAGCACCCAAGAGAACGCACTATCAGTACTCGGAGCTGCAGGTGTGTTTTTCGAATGAGCTTATAGCATGATCAGTTACTGGATTGGATTGGATGTGCCATGAAGTGTAGTTCAGTGCGCACACACGCATGCATGCACACATGCACGCACACATGCACGCACACATGCACGCACACATGCACGCACACATGCACGCACACATGCACGCACACATGCACGCACGCATGCATGCACACACACAATCTTGGTGTTTTTTTTTCACAAGTTAGTTATTTCTATTGCAGCTCACAGTCCTTTCCGTTCTCCCGCTTCCAACCCCTCGTCCAATCCCCCGTTGCCAGCTGGCGACCGAGAATTTTAACGAGGCCAACGTGTTGGGGCAGGGCGGATTCGGGAAGGTGTATTACGGCGTGCTGCCCGTGCACCCCGCTCAGGTCAGAAATGCTGCACCGTTCAGGAGATAATGCAGATACTTCAGGTTAATGTAATGTGCTGCTATGGGGCAGGTAGGCCGGATTCGACAAGATGTACTATGGCGTGCTGCCCGTGCACCCCGCTAAGGTGAGAATTCAAATGCTTGCGGATATTATACTGCTCAGGTGAGAGATTAGATGTTTCATGATACAGTATCATGGTGCTGTGGGGCAGGCAGGGCGGGTTCTGGAAGGTGTATTATGGCGTGCTGCCAGTGCTGCTAGTGCATCCTGCTCAGGTGAAAATTCAGATACATGTTGGGTACTGAGTTTTAGATGCACTGGCAGCACGCCAGTGCATGCAAGTTTGGACACTCTGCAACCTTCCCCGTTTCCCACATGTTGGGTCAGGGCGGGTTCGGAAAGGTGTTGTATGGTATGCTGCCAGTGCTGAAGCAAGGAGGAGGGGAGCAGGGTGACGAGGATTTTGTCTCTAGACCTGTGTGTGTATGAGTAGGGACCCTAAACCTTGAACAATACACCCCGTGTATTGATGCCCTCTATACCGCAAATCGCCCTCCTTCCCTCTCACCATCAGGTGGTGGCAGTGAAGGTGCTGAAGCAAAGAGGAGGGGAGCAGGGAGATGAGGGGTGTGTCTCTAGACTCGTGTATTTGTGTAGGGATCCTAAACCCGAAACCCTTAACCCTGTATAATATTAATTCCTTGTACTGCAAGTGCCACTCCTCTTACCATCAGGTGGTGGCAGTGAAGGTGCTGAAGCAGGGAGGAGGGGAGCAGGGGGATGAGGAGTTTGTTTCTAAACCGTTGCTTGTATGTATCACGCATGCAATAGCCTTATCTTCAATACTCTGCCCTGTGAAACCCCTTTCCCTCTCACCATCCATCAGGTGGTCGCAGTGAAGGTGCTGAAGCAGGGAGGAGGGGAGCAGGGAGACGAGGAGTTTGTTTCTAGACCCTTGTGTGTGTGTAGGCCTCTTGTTTATATTATGTATTTTGCCCTCTACATCGCAAATCGCTTTCCCTCTCACCATCAGGTGGTGGCAGTGAAGGTGCTGAAGCAAGGAGGAGGGGAGCAGGGAAATGAGGAGTTTGTTTCTAAACCGTTGCTTGTATGTATCATGCATGCAATAGCCTTATCTTCAATACTTCGCCCTACGAAATCCCCCTCCCTCCCACCATCCATCAGGTGGTGGCAGTGAAGGTGCTGAAGCAAGGAGGAGGGGAGCAGGGAGACGAAGAGTTTGTGACTGAACTGGAGCTGCTGAGTCGACTGGAGCACAAACACCTGGTGAGTGGGAGAGGCTGGTGCTGGAAGGATTGGTGCATGCGGAATAGATAGGGAGGGGTTGGTGCACAGATGAGGGAGGGGAGCAGGGAGACGAAGAGTTTGTGACTGAACTGGAGCTGCTGAGTCGACTGGAGCACAAACACCTGGTGATTGGGAGAGGCTGGTGCTGGAAGGATTGGTGTATGCAGGATAGATAGGGAGGGGTTGGTGCACAGATGAGGGAGGGGAGCAGGGAGACGAAGAGTTTGTGACTAGGCATGGGCATCTGGCCCGACCCGGCCCGACCCGTCCCGTTTAGGGCGACCCGTTAGCTTAACGGGTCGGGTCGGGTCGGGTTAGCGGGTCAGGTTTGACTCTGTTTTGGTGACCCGACCCGCCCCGTTGGAACGGGTATTTGTGACCCGTAACCGGGTCGGTTACACCACGGGTCGGGTCGGGTCGGATCAAAATATGCTACATAGCAGCAGGGTATGGTGGCGCCTTGGCGCTGCTCCAGGTGGTGTTCGCGATGCTGGAGGTGGGGACCGCGATTCTGGCTGGTGGCGTTCGCGCTACTGCAAGGCCGCTATCGCGCTATTGCGGGGATGCGATCCCGCCAATGCGTGGCCGCGATCGCGCTGCCCTAGTGTGGTGCCGCGATCGCGCATATGCGGGGCCGCGATCGCGCTATTGCGGGGACACGATCCCGCCAATGCGTGCCCGCGAGTGCGCTGCTGCGCCCCTGGTCGTGCGACACTGGGAAAGGCAGGAGCGCCTATGCCTATAATGAATATAAATATTAAAATAGTGCTAACATTGAAGTCAAGACTGTAAGAGTTTTGGTAGGTGGAGTGGAGATTTACTAACTTGATTAGAGACTGGATCTGAATGTCGAGGGAAACAAAACATAAAAACCAACTGATGTTCTCCCCCTCTCCAAATTGTACCCTAAGCAGAGAACGGGTCGGGTAACCCTGTCATTTGACTGGGTATGCGACCCGGACGGGACGGGTCAACCCGACCCGGCGGGTCGCTGATACCCGTCTATAAATCACATTGACGGGTCACGGGTCGACCCGACCCGCCCGGGTAAACCCGACCCGACCCGGACGGGTCGACATTCTCAGCATTCCTGACCCGACCCGCCATTTTAGGCGGGTCGGGTCAGGTAACCCGACCCGTCCGGGCCAAATGCCCATCCCTATTTGTGACTGAACTGGAGCTGCTGAGTCGGCTAGAGCACAAACACCTGGTGAGTGGGAGACGCTGGTGCTGGAAGGGTTGGTGTATGCGGAATAGATAGGGAGGGGTTGGAGCACAGATGAGGGAGGGGAGGAGGGAGACGAAGAGTTTGTGACTGAACTGGAGCTGCTGAGTCGGCTAGAGCACAAACACCTGGTGAGTGGGAGAGGCTGGTGCTGGAAGGATTGGTGTATGCAGGATAGATAGGGAGGGGTTGGTGCACAGATGAGGGAGGGGAGCAGGGAGACGAAGAGTTTGTGACTGAACTGGAGCTGCTGAGTCGGCTAGAGCACAAACACCTGGTGAGTGGGAGACGCTGGTGCTGGAAGGATTGGTGTATGCGGAATAGATAGGGAGGGGTTGGTGCACAGATGAGGGAGGGGAGCAGGGAGACGAAGAGTTTGTGACTGAACTGGAGCTGCTGAGTTGGCTAGAGCACAAACACCTGGTGAGTGGGAGACGCTGGTGCTGGAAGGGTTGGTGTATGCGGAATAGATAGGGAGGGGTTGGTGCACAGATGAGGGAGGGGAGCAGGGAGACGAAGAGTTTGTGACTGAGCTGGAGCTGCTGAGTCGGCTAGAGCACAAACACCTGGTGAGTGGGAGAGGCTGGTGCTGGAAGGATTGGTGTATGCGGAATAGATAGGGAGGGGTTGGTGCACAGATGAGGGAGGGGAGCAGGGAGACGGAGAGTTTGTGACTGAACTGGAGCTGCTGAGTCGGCTAGAGCACAAACACCTGGTGAGTGGGAGAGGCTGGTGCTGGAAGGATTGGTGTATGCAGGATAGATAGGGAGGGGTTGGTGCACAGATGAGGGAGGGGAGCAGGGAGACGAAGAGTTTGTGACTGAACTGGAGCTGCTGAGTCGGCTAGAGCACAAACACCTGGTGAGTGGGAGACGCTGGTGCTGGAAGGATTGGTGTATGCGGAATAGATAGGGAGGGGTTGGTGCACAGATGAGGGAGGGGAGCAGGGAGACGAAGAGTTTGTGACTGAACTGGAGCTGCTGAGTCGGCTAGAGCACAAACACCTGGTGAGTGGGAGACGCTGGTGCTGGAAGGGTTGGTGTATGCGGAATAGATAGGGAGGGGTTGGTGCACAGATGAGGGAGGGGAGCAGGGAGACGAAGAGTTTGTGACTGAACTGGAGCTGCTGAGTCGGCTAGAGCACAAACACCTGGTGAGTGGGAGAGGCTGGTGCTGGAAGGATTGGTGTATGCGGAATAGATAGGGGTTTGAGAGTAAAATGAGGGAGGGGAGCAGGGCGACAAGGAGTTGTGACAGAGCTAGAGCTGCTGAGTCGGCTAGAGCACAAACACCTGGTGAGTGGGAAGGGAGAGGGAGAAGGAGTGGGTGTTAGCAGGATAGAAGGGAGGGGAGCAGCAGGGTAATGGGGAGCAGGGCGACAAGGAGTTTGTGACAGAGCTGGAGCTGCTGAGTCGCCTGGAGCACAAACACCTGGTAAGCAGGGATAGAGGGAGGGAGAATTAAGGTGAGGGTTGGTGTCGGGGAGAAGGTGCGATAGGGGTAGCTGGATATCGTGGAGGGACATGTATGAAGATTTGTTTTGAGACGTCTCAAAACAAATCTTTATACATGTTGGGGAGAAGGTACGATAGGGGTAGCTGGATAGCGTGGAGGGGAGCAGGATGAGGCGGAGTATTGTTGGAGCTGTCGTGAAGTAGCTCCTCTCCTTCTGCTCTTCTGACTGTTCTTCTCTTCCTCCTTCTCAGAATCCCTGTTTCTTCCTGACGGATACTTCCACCTCCTCTCTCACCCTCATCCTCTCATGCCTGCTTGTCTGTCCCGGTACCGCCTGTCTGCCTCTTCTTTCTCCTGGTGTATGTGATGATGCCGCTCCTGCCTTCTCCTTGCTTCTCAGGCTGCATTGCCCCCTCCCGAGCCTGAGTTCCAGCACAGGCAACTCTGGCTTCGGGACCCACAGCCTGACCCTTCCCTTCTCCAGCCGCGGCCACATTGGTAACGTGCTCCTTGATGCTCCTGCCTCGCTCATCCTCTAGCACCAGCACCCCGGACTGCCGGATCTCCTTCACCTTCCAGCGTTCTGGTCCGACTGGCAGGTCCAGCGTATCTCGCTTGGGCTGCCTCAGGTACACTTCCTCCCCAGTCTCTACTCCCTTACGTCTGCTGCCCTCCTCTCCTGCCTTCCTCTGTTGGTAACGTCTGGCGTCCCTCAGCTGCGCCACGTGGAGGTTGTCCAGCGCTGACGGCGTCAGTTCCTTCAGGTAGGCCGCCCTTTTCCTAGCCAGCTCAGCCCACAGGTGTGGCTCGTCTGCATCTACCGTCGCACTTAGCAACTTCGGTGCATCCACGGGTAGGATGGGGTGCCTCCCGTACAGCAGATGGTAGGGCGACATGTCCTTCAATGCCGCTTGCTTGGCAAAGCGATAACCTGCGAGGATCCAGTGTAGCTCCTGGTCCCATCCTCTCTTGTTCGTCTCCCCGTAGGCCCGCAACCCTCTCTTCAGCGTCTGAATCAGCCGCTCTGTTAACCCATCCGACTGCGGGTGATACCTTGATGTCACACGGTGAGTGATCTGCAGCTCCTGCAAAGTCTCTTCAAAGCAGCCCTTGAACTCGGTACCCTGGTCAGTTAACACCTCCCCGCACGCCCCAAACCTGGTGATCACTTGCTCCACGAACGCCTCTGCAATCAGCCCACTGTTCTTGCTCGGCAGTGCCCTGGCCTCTACCCACTTACTGGTGTGCTCTACCATCACGAGTATGTATTGCTTGCCTTTCTTGGACAGAGGTAATTCCCCAGCCAAATCTAGCGACCAGCGGTAGCCCAGTCCCCGAATCGGCAGGGACTGCAGCTCCTCCCTTGCCTTCTCCAGTGCTGCTTTGTTACGCCTGCAGGCTGCACACTCATCTACCAGCTCCTTGACGTCCCTCCTTATCCCTGCCCACCAGTACATCGTTCTCAGCAGTTGATTGGTGCGTGCCGTTCCGTAATGCCCCAGCTTCCCATGCACCCGCCGCATGATCCTTTCTCTGTCCTTCTTCTGTGGCACTATCTTCCATCCCTCACTGGTGCGAAGCTGCAGCTGCTCTTGGTACCAACGGTAATGCTGCCCCCTGGCCCTTGCCCTTTCACTGGCCTCCTCGCCCTCCGTGCTCCCTCCCTTAATCCACTCCAGAGTCTCGGTATCCTCCCAGACATCTAACTGCCTCTTCTCCACTTTCTCTTGCCCCCAGCCCGCTGCCGGCACCTGTGCTACGGCTACCAGCTGCGCCACGGGCTGTACAGGTGGAGGGTTCCTAGACAGACCGTCAGCATGCTGGAGGGTCTTGCCCGGGCGGTGGCGGATTTCAAAGTCGTATCCCAGCAGCTTGATCGCCCAACGGGCATTCCGTCCCGTCAGTTCCTGGTTTGTCATCAGCCACATCAAAGGCTGGTGGTCGGTTACCAGCACAAACCTACGCCCCTGCAGGTAGACCCTGAAATGGTTGATGCCCCATACAGCTGCCAACCCCTCGCCTTCATACGAGCAGTAATTTGCCTCGGTGGGGCTGCAGCTGCGGCTGGCAAATGCTACCACTCGCTCCTCTCGCTCAATCTCCTGGCACAGGACTGCCCCCATCCCCATGCAGCTCCAGTCAGTGTAAAGCGTGAAGGGAGCATCTGCCCTGGGTATCTGCAGCAGTGTGCCTGTTCGTACTGCCTCTAATAGATCCTGTCTGGCCGCCTCTTCCTCCTTTCCCCACTCCCATCGCTTTCCTTCCCTAAGCAGTTGATTCAGGAGGTTCGCTCGCCGGCTAAAGTTCGGCACGAACTTCCTATAGTAGTTTAGGAAGCCGAGCAACGCTC